TCTCAGGGGTGGGATGGAGGGAGTAGGGAAATGCAGGCACAGCGCCTGAGCCGGCTTGTCCATCGCTTGCACTCTCACCGGAGCGATGGGGACGTGAATAATCTGAGTTTGGCTCTGTTTTGGGGTATGATTTAGTTGCGTTCCGAAGGACTGCCCCGCTGTTCTTGGAAAGGTATTAAAAAGGGGAAGAGCAATGGGAAGGTGTTCCCCTGGCTTATGTCGTGGATGAATCCAGACAGGGCCAAAAGAAAAAAAGAAAAGGAAAATATCTAATGCCACATGGATCCGGTGTCCCTGGGGATGGTTCAGGGAGGATGATGATGCCAACGGGGAAGAATCCCAAAATGGGCACGTGGTTTTGAGAATGAATACCTGTCCGCCTCTGCTGCCGTCCCCTTCCTAAATACTGGTTGGATTCCCCTTTTTTTGTGTTTTAACCATGTTGTCACTTTGAGATGAAGAGTGTGGCCTCGTGAGATGATTTTTGCGTATTTGTAAGGTAAAAGTCTGTCTTAATGGAGTAAATAGGATTAAAATAAACCAAACCCTGGATTTTTCTTGAGAGCACAACAGAAAATGTCATGAGATCAAGTCAAACCCTTGTGACTAGCTAAACATAACTTAAAATAGCTCGACATTAAAGAGCTTTTTCCTTTTATCTGCTGGCCTGTAGCTCACTGTTAGGTGGTAACGTCAGCTGGATATGTGAAAGCTTCTGCAGTTTGGAAGTGAACCTTAATGATTTGAGTTTATTGTTGTTATAAGTGTTAAATTGCTAAGGAGAACACGTGCTATATACTGTGCACAAGGGTATTTTTTACTTGGGTGAATGGAAAGCAAATGTGTGAAAGCAAATCTCTCGCCTTGTATGACAGTGTCACTATAACTTGTTTTATTTATTCATTTCCCACTCATAAATGATACAGATGCAGCCCGGGTGGGTGGGGAAGGGAAGACAGGTAGCCCTTGCACTGCAGAAGGTCAAGGTTAATGCTACCTCCAGCGTTATAATGACAGATGGGAGGCAGAAACCTTAACGTACTTGCGATTAGCATATGGTTTCCTTGGCTGAGTGTCCGAAGGATTTAAGAAACCCGGGTACGCGCTTCATAGTGTACACATTTTAAAACAAATAAATAAAAAGTGTGTATGGTTATATCGTTGAGCCTTTCAGCTGTTTTTCTTGAATATCTCCACTTTTGAGTCAAGTACTGTCAGGTGCTTTGTTCTGGAGATGCACCGGGGTAATCCGTCACTGGGGACTCGCGGGTGGGTGATGTATTAGCACAACATACCGACCTGTGTTCCTTTGATGTATAACTCATCAAGATAATGTTGGCAAGCATTGTACAAAAGCAGCATGTTTAAAAAGTATTAAGATGAATTGATTCCTTGCTTAAGAAGTGTGAAAGGAAGAATAATGGCAGATTAGCTCTGGGATGCCGCGGTTCTCCCGGAGCCGTGCAGCGTTGTGCGGTGCAGAGGGGCGGATGGAATTTCATCTTTCCTCCCACTTCTGACAGCAAAGTGTCTGGCCCTGGTTTTCCCATTCTCAGGCAACAAAAGTCGCATTAAGTCTTATTTTGTAATAGCGTGTTTTGTCACTTTCAAAAGCAGTTTGGCCAGCCCCGAAACATTATGTGATAATTGAATTTTTTTAAGGTTTTGTTTTTTTGTTTTTTTGTTTTTTACTTTATTAGGTTAACTTATTCTCTAAGAGTAGCCCTGATTTTTGTCTGATGGAGACATGATGTGGCTGGTAGTATTTAAAAACCAATTTAGAAGTGGTGTTACGACTGAAACACCATTAGTTTTTAGTTCCTTCCTTCACGATCTTAAAAGACGTGAAGGGAAGAGACGTGCTGGCACACCCAAGGCATCTTCTTGTCTGTGCAGAATTGCTTCGCTCATTACTTGTTCTAGTACCGTTCACGGTTCATTACAGGGATTTTGCAGTCTGCCATGACTCGGGCAACGTGATGAATTTATTTAGAATAACCTGTATGCCTGGATGTTATTTTAGCGCAAATGTCCTAAAAGGATTAGGTTGGCAATGTCTGCCTAATACGCCTGTTACTGAAATATCAGAATACTTTGTAATATTTAGTACATCAAAGTCTCTTTTAATACTTTGTAATGGCTTCTAGAAAACGCTCAAGTCCTTTCTTTCTCCTCTCTCTTTATTTTTCAAGGAAAAATCTGAAAAAGTTCTCATTAGGGGCCGAGGGGCTGCAGAACTGTTATTAATAGAGCGAAAGTCAAGATTGTGTTGGGTCTTACCGTCACGAGTAAAGTACTTGCCGCACTTTCATCAAGAAATGTGTGATGGTCTGATAAACTCTGCCCACCAATGCAGTCTTGACAATGATCTTGCACTGCAGACTGCTTAATAATTTTCATTATTTTTAATTAAAGTTGAAGAAGTGCAGACTCCTGCTCAAATTAAGGTTGGTTGTGTTGCCGGAATGTGGTAATTACTTTAATTGATCACAAGATAGTTTCCTTGATCACCAATTAGACCAAATTACCGATCAAGTTTCAAGACGTGAAGAAATGTCCAAACTGATTTTCTGTAATAGTGTTTTCATATCTAATCAAACCTAAATATCTTTTCCTTCCAGAGTCAATTGTATTTTCCCAAAGAAAGGTTACGGCTCTACAAATATAAAGGTGATTCATGAACAATAGCGTTCCAATTAATTTAATTAGCAAAGGAAGTATTTAGGATCGTAATGGAGATTGTGCTGGTGAAATTGCTCGGTAGAACTGTAGCTCATTTTCTTAGCGGGAGATACTTTTTGCGTATAATTAAAATAAACTAAAATGGAAGAAGTAAGTTGCTTTGGGTTAACGTGCAATGAGGGAGAACGTCTCTGAGCAGAGCGGGGCATGCAGAAAGGCGGGCACGTCTGGCGGGCGGGCGTGCTTCGTCCTTCGCTGTAACACCAGATCGCCCTGGCTGGGACAGTCGTGGTCAACTGGAGCAACGAGCAGCAGGACCCGTCCTGGGGAGGGTCCTCTGCGCCAGAATTAACTCCTTTTCGTGAGTCGGACAGCCCCAAGTTGAGCACTCTTCGGGAAGATGAACGGTGTTAAGACCAGTGACTGTTTTATCCAGCTGGAGACTTTTTACTCTCTCTAGGGGAAGAGGCAGTGGGTTGGCGTGGTGGTCCGCTGATCGGAGAGGATTTGGTGGCCCACCGATCGGGAGGATTTGGCGTCCCAAAGCGTGAAGGAAGGTCTGCAGAGCAGATTAATTTAGTAGACTCGTTTGCTTGCGTAGCTCGCTCTGCCTGCCTTCCGCTGGAGCGATGGTTATTGTCACACAATCAATGAACTGTGCTTGTGTAGTGTAACCTGCGTCTATACATAGGTGGGTGAGTTCCTGGGATGGACAGACAGACGCTGGTAGAGCATACATGAACCTGGTAGGGTTTTCATAAATTTAATGTATTTTTTCCCTTGCTGCTTCTTTGCACAAAGGCAATCTAGTTGCAAATGCAATTGCTGTTTTAAACTTTTGGGGACATTTCTGTGTATAGATTGCTGTGTTGGAAATAGCATTCCGACTAAGCCCGTGGACACTCTAAAAACATTTAAATCTAATATCTTTCAGAACTATTAATGCAGAAGTGTTCCAAATCATTGCTAACATCTAATGCACAATTTGCAGCTTTCTGCTTCAAAGCGTGCTGCTGAAACATTTGCAAATTTTTAAAAGTAATTGTTCACTCGAAGTAAAACTAAACCAAGCGAGAGCTTCAAGGGAAGTTAGATTTTCCCGAATTTTGGAATGCTCTTGGGTCAAAGAAAAAAGCTTTTTAATTGCTGACAGTTTGGTGATTTCCAAATGACAAACCTCATTGGAATGATTTTCTCTGATTATAACGTTTGCATTCATTTGACTGGCAAAGCGACTAACAAAGTCATACTTCATCCAGGCACTGATTCTTTTTTTGCTTAAAGGTTTTTGTAATTTGTGAGAGGAAAAAAGACTGAAACTATTATCAACCATTATATGTTATTCATTGACCACATGTTTGTTTGAAATGGCCATCGCTTGGTGGAATGCAGGCTATATACATTCTCTTCCATAAATTAGCACTAAAAAAACTACCTAAATCAGGTAGGGTTTTGTTGAGCTTGTTGTATTATAATATGAACCAGACTATAACGTGGATGTTACTTTTGCTTTGCATGTTAATTCAGGTCCTGAACTCCGATGGATGGAGCTCGGTATGAACAAAGCCCGCTGACTTAGAGGCGTTCTGCTCATGCACTGAGGCCCTTCAGGCCCCGCTGTGTAATTGTGTTCTTGATTTACATGGACATTCTAATTTTCTTTATAACATAGTGATTTGCTGCTAAGTATTTTGGCAAGAGCCTGCTATTATTTTCTTCTTGAGGCTGTGATAAAACCTGCGTCCTGGGGGAGCGTGCAGGGGAGAATATAGGGGCAGAGGATTGGGAAACCTATTTTAACTCATTTTAAGGGAAAATATTTTCTCATAAAGCAGGGGGGCAAACCCACCTGCCGCCTTTCTCCCCCCAGTAGAATAAATAGCAAAACAGTTACATGAAAGGATGTGTTTCTGGAATTGGTATCTGTCTAGTACAGGAATACTGTGGCACGATGCTTGATTAGAAATGGCACGTTTCTAAGATGCAGTAAGGGATGAGGGGTTTGGGATGGGTGTTTAAAATCGCTGTTGGATGCCAAAGGTAAAATCATTGCTCTCGTGCAATGGTTTTGAATCCTGCAGTAGGTAACGTTGAGCAGAGTGATTTACCGGGGTCTGAAGGGGATGATTTCAGCAGTCTCAGGAAAGGCATCGGTGGCATGAGAAGGTGAAATGCTCCTTTAACACACACAGACCCGAGGTGCAGCAATCTGGAGCATCTCTAGGAGTTTTTGAGATTTTTTGGAGTGAATCTTGCAGATCCGCTGCCAGTCCTGGCAGGTGGAGGAGTGTTTTCCTCTTTGCTCTTTCTCTCCTTAGGCTTTTGGATTTATGACGCGTGTTGCTCTACAAGCAGAGAAGATGAATCACCACCCGGAATGGTTTAACGTCTACAGCAAGGTAACGTGTTCACCAGCCCTAGTTACAGGCATGGCACGTTAAGGACACCAAACCACTGGCCCATTCTCTCTGCCCTTTTTTGTAGCTTATATACAAGATAAGGGAATGGGAGGATGTTGTGTCTTTTTAAAGAGATTTGAGATTTGTAAAGAGATGCTGAGATATTTGTAGTGGTGAGGAATCAGGAATCAACCTCTTTGTGGTTGCTACCAACCCCATGGTTTGGACCTGTCGCTTCACCTCTCTGGCTGAGACGTAAAAATAAAATAGAAGCCTTTAAATTCTTATTTAGCCAACCTGAATAAACAACTGTTTTGAAACTACTCACCAACTCTCATTCCTTTCTGTGCAACCAGTCGGGAGGCCAGCGGTGTAGGGTAGCAGACCGTCGATGTGTAGGTACCTAAATGGGAGCCTGGCAGTCTCAATTTAGGTTTGATTTTATTTAAAAATTGTAGGCTCCTATGTCTCAACATAGCAGCTTATAAAATTGGTTTATAATATTACCTAACTGATGGTGGTCTCGTATTTACAAGGGTTACAAGGTATACTGCAACCCTCGAATGAAAGGTGCTGTGTGAAGGGGGAAATTATTGCTCTCCCTTTATTTTTATTTTCTAATACTTCTCATTGCATTGTATCGAGTTGTTTGTGAGGAACATCCCCACCTCTCCCCCCTAACAGAGGCATCCCAGCACAGGCTCCTCCTCGTCAGCCCTGTAGGTCACCCTGTTTAAGGGAACATTAAATGATCACCGGACAAAGTCCTGATCACCTGCTCTTCATGATTTTCTTGGCTTTCCAGAATATTCGGAATTTATCTTTTTTTTTCTCTTCCTCTTCTCTCTTCCCAAAATCTCAGTCAAAGGAGAGACAAAATAATGCCCAACTTGTCATCTGGCTTAGTCTAAACAAACCCATGCAGGCAGCTGCGTCATAGCAAAATGCACCAGTCCGTTTGTTTTTCTTTTTGAAATTAATCTGCAACAAGCTCAACAATTTTTTCACCTTCAGGGTGCTGGTTTTTAACAAAACACATGAGCCCCTGACTCCGCTGTTGGCAGCTTGGTCACTGGCCCAGGCTCTTCCTGAAACCGATGCGTGGAATTTAAATGTAAAGAATGAGTTACTTAATCAGACACCTCTTCTTGGATGAAACCCAAGAATGCAACGCCTGTTTTATTCTGCGAAGGGGCTCGCTTCGGTTAGGCTTAAGCCTCCTCACCTACAATGTCTTCTGGTTTACGTGAGGAGCGAGCGTCCAGCTCGCTGCTTGCCAGGAGCATCGTGTAAAACCAGTTCACGACAGAGACACGCGGCTTTCCCGATGAATTGCTACTAAGCCTACGTGGCAGAGATCAAAATGGCTTTGTAACCCCTTTCTTCTCCTTTTTGACAGGTTCAGATAACACTGATTTCCCACGACTGCGGTGGACTGACCAAGAGAGATGTGAAGCTGGCTCAGTTTATTGACAAAGCTGCTGTCTCGGTGTAACAAAGATGTAAAACGTTTTAATGCAGTGTGCAGCAGCATTTTGTTTTTAAATGGTATCCCTCATTCTTTGTATCCCTGATTTCACGAAACCCCTGAGAACAAGGTATTTTGTAGAAAGAGTGGCTTAGCTTGCTTTGCCTTTTAGTCTGAGACCCCTCTGGATGCCTGTGCTTGTCCTTTGCCATTGCTGGCTCCGCCTGAGGATGTAGCAGATAAACCAGCGAACAAACAAGTTTTGAACAATCCTTTTCTAGAAACTTAAAACAGGCTGGAATGAAAGCGGGAGCCCACCCTCAAGTGTCGGTGTTCCCCACGCCCACGGGAGCCGAGGCTGGGGGCAG